TGGGTGAGTTTCTACCTACGTGTATAGTCGCCTAACCACCACTGTGATCCACAGATAGGGTGTTGCCACATCCTGGAAGAGTTCTCTAGATTTTTCAGAAATAAAATTGTTTATGTTAAAAAAACCCTTGACCTGGAATAGGTGTTAATACCTTGTTTGTAAAGGAGGTTATCTAAAGGAAAAGGAGAGAGAAATATGGAAAGAAAGATAGGCCCAGTTCTATTGGAGTAGGTGGCAGATATCATCACGATCTGATGAGAACAGCATGGCATTTGCACTTACTACACTCAAGGGCCAAGAAACTACGACACATTGGTGGCAGTAAGCCCTCCTAGAGCCCAGATCTTTGTTCCCAGCCACCCTCCTCCATTGTAATTAACCAGGGCTCCCTGGAGGAGCTGTGACTGAAGGGTAGGAGCTGAGGAAAGGACAAGACCATATTGTGCCCAAAAGCAGGAATGTGTTTGAAGAATGATGGAGGGTGGGGATCCCTGTCAAAAGTTAAGAACCTGCTTGAACAGCCTTCTGTTTTATGCTAACAAACCCTTGACCTGGAATAGTTGATAGTGCTATCAAGTTTCGGACAGTTTTATTAAGAACAGCCCACCAGGGCATGGTGGCACATGCCTATAGTCCCAGCAGCATGAGAGGCTGAGACAGGAGGATTCCGAGTTCAAAGCCGGCCTCAGCAATAGTGAGATGCCAAGCAACCCAGTGAAACCTGTCTCTAAATAAAATACAAAATAGGATTGGGGATGTGGCTCAGTGGGTGAGTGCCCCTAAATTTAATCCCTATTCACCCTTCCCCCCCAAAAAAAGTCATGGCAGTAAATTTTATAAAACTTTGAATAAAAAGAAATTCATGAGTCTATAGGGATGTTCTGGAAAGAGAAAGAGAACGAAAAAAGAAATGGGATAAAAAGGAAATTTCTCCTTTACAAAAGGATACCAATTAATAAATGTAGATGGAATGATAAACTTAAAATCATAATATTAAAATCCCCCTCCATTAGAATATACAGCCAGTGGTAATATTCACACCAAGAATCACTCTACAGATTGCTTATTTATTCAAATTAAGTGGTATAGTGGCCACTATCCTAACCAGGCATTCTTACCTATGGAACATCTTGACATGAAAGGTACCCTTATGTGACACTTTTGTTGTCTCTTTGCTATAAATGTGTAGCCTGGCCCTGAATATGACACATGATGTAGAAACTTGGATGGGATCAGGTATGTGTATATGCGGGGGCGGGGGGGGGTGCATAACATATTTAAATATGCCTGAATACTAGATTATGTTATTGTTACTTTTCTTGAACACGGTAAAGGAAAGATGGTGATGTAGAAGAATATGCTTGTTCTTAAGAGATGCCTGCCAAAGTGCTTGGGTGAAGTATGCTAGGTGTGCCACTTTTAAGCTGATGGTGATGAGAAATAATCGGAAAATGTTATCAATTAAGAATAAAAATTGTTTTCTTTGACACATTCCGTTCTGCTTTTTTCAGTGGTACTTAGAATACACATTCCTGGTGGTTGATTCTGTGATGAAACTATAGCTTCTCAAACTTGCCTATGTCACATAGAGATTATTGTTTTAAAAATTGCCCTGCAGTCCAGACTCAAGTAGGTGTTTATTTTGCAGTGAAAGGTTTTGTGCCAACTTTGGTTGCTCTTGTGGCTACTTGAAGCCAGGCACAGAGTACTCTCTGTGGTACTGAGTCTTGTTTTTGTTTTCATTCACTTTCATTAAAGAATTTCAATATTTTGCACCTTTGGTGATTCTCATAGGATCCAGTGCCTTTTAAACTTTTTAAGACCTTTCTTTCTCTGATGGTACCAGAAGATCTGGGTCTGTGTCTGGGTTTACTGTGAAATTCATTCATGTACATTTCCTCTCTTTTTGAGTACTTTTGATCTAAGTAGTGCCCTTTCCCCAGTTTGCAGTTAAAATCAACACATCAGGAATACTTAACCTCTGACCTTTTTTTTTGGTACTAGGGATTGAACTCAGGGGTGTATAACCACTGAGCCATATCCCTAGTCTTTGCATAGGGCCTTGCTAAATTGCTGATGTTGGCCTTGAACTTTTGAATCTATCAGCCTCCCAAATAGCTGGGATTACAGGCATGCACCATTGCACCCAGCTACCTCTTCTAATTTAACAAAATTCCTTTCAAAGAACGTTTTATTAAATGTTTGTTGGCTCTGGGGAAAAGATGGTGGGTGAAAGGGGCACACCTCCTCTTGTCAAGTCATCTCAGCCTCAAGGGTGTGATGGGCAGGTTAGCATGGGGACTGTGCCAGTCCAGTGGCAGCACAGAAGGGAGCCATAAGAGGCCAAGGGATATGTGGGACCTGAGCCTGACTGGTCCTTCACCTGAGCCAACAAAAAGGCTGGGCGGGAATCAGTGGGGCAAGGACCACGCATGGAATCATGCCACAGCTTGTCGGACTGTTCTGTGTGGTTTGGTTCCTTTAAAACTGAGGATGGCTTCCAGGTTAAGGTCATCTGTCCCTGATTCCTACAGAGATCCTTTCAGAGCAAGGCCCTTCAGTACACTTCTTGGCTGTAGGAAGAGCACAAGGCCTTGGCTGCCGTCCCCTCTGACCTTCACTCTGTCCCTCCCTGTGCCTTCCCCCTCAGTAAAATATCTGTGGCTCCTGGGTCTGTCATGCGGCTCTCGTTTTGTACCTCTCTCCTCTGCCTGGAATATTCATAGCCCCTTACAGATATGACAGAGTGCTTCTTGTTCTTTAAGGTCAGCTTAAGGGACTGTTCGCACAGAGCCCTGCAGCAAGTGGCACCATATACGCTGCTGCCTTTTGTGTGGCCACAGTCAGCGTCTCCTTCACATAGCAGGAACCCCTCAAGGGCTCAGGTGGTTTTTTTCTGTTGTCGTATCTGCTTTTAATCATGCCTGTGTCAAGTAGATAACTAAGAAACGATTATCATGTGACAAAATGACACATCCCTCTCTTACGGTTGGCAGGTTCAGCCTCACCTAGAGGTAATTATTCAGAATGTGAATCTGATGCCCCCCCACCCCAGAGATTCTGAGTCGGGATCTGTGGGTCCGAGCCAAGAGCCGAGGATCAGCCAGCCTCACGCTGTCACTGTCAGCTTCCCTCTCTTCCTCCCTAAGTCAGCTGTTAACTGTGATCCAGGGAAGCGCCCTGTGTGCACGCACTCTTGGAACTTCCTGAGGACGTTGCAGTCAGGGTGCTGGTTTGTGCTGCTAGTTCTAGACCCACACTGTCTATAGGCTGTCACCAGCCTGTGCAGGTAGTGTGCCCACCTTGATGGTGCACGTGTGATGTCGACATGGCTAGCTCTTCCCACTCCTCTTGGGAACCTTTTTTTGTTTTCTACTCCTAGGGGAACCAGGGTCCCAGCCAGTGAGTGAGGTTCTGTGCAGCAGTGCACTTAGGGCCTTTTGTCCTGATTAAATCATAAAATGCTTGTCTTAAAAGGTGCCAAAATCAGGTTCAGACTGAGCTTTGAGGAGTAGAATCCAGAGCCAGTCTCGATTTCTGGACTTCCAGGGTGTCACCAATGCCATCTGATGTCCATAGTCCTGAGGACAAGGTCTTTAAATGCAACTCATTATTCGTGTTATAGCACCCCTGGGGGACTTGCTTAAAACCTGAAACTATGGTAAAACAGATATTCTCTGGGCCATTGGAGATGACATGCTCACCTCCTTTATCCTTGTGGTATATTCCTGAAAATTTGTGTTTAAGGGATTTTTAAGTCAAATGATGTTTTCCCTTTGATATACATTCTCACTTTGGGTGGCCTTCACTTCCATTTGTAGCTCTGTGCTCCGGGCCCCTCCGGCAGGCAGTCATAACTGGATGTGTGTGGAGGGCATGCCCACGGGAGTGGCTGTCAGCAGTGCATCTGGTTTGTGCTGCGTGGCTCACCTCTGCCTTAAAGCTGGCATCCTGCCTATTCTCAATTGATTTTATTGCATGATTAAAATGTGACAAAAGAGTCTTGACCCTCATCTGGCTCAGACTGGAGTATGCTGGGCTCTGGACTTTGAAAACAGCTGCTTGTCCTTCCGCCAGAGCCACTTCCGTTTCTCAGGCCAGTTGCTGTCTCACTGGCCAGGCTGACCAAGTCATTTAAGGATTTGGGTGTCTGGCAGTTCCGGTCTCTGCAAACAGAAGGAACCAGTTTTACATTTTACCCCCTAAATAATGCGGAAAACAGTGATTAAGTTCTTGGTGCCAACCTAAATTATTCATAAAGTCAATATGAATTATCTAAAATACAATCAAATGACAACTCTGAGAATCTTTGCACTTAATTTGATGATGTGGTCAGAAATTTTAATGAAGACTCTTTTAGTTTTCTGGGCCCTTTAAAAATGTGTTAGAACACTTTTAAATAACTTTTTTTATGATTAAGCAGTAATGCCATTACTTTGTAACTTACAGCTTTTTTCTCCTGGACACGTCTAGATCACTAATATGATTTTAAGACTTACTTTTTATGACTACGGTGGTTCTTGACTCACAAAATGGAATACCAGGGGAAGGTAGATTTTTTTTTTCCCCTAGTGATACTCTATAAACATTTGCAAGAGCAGTGGGAGGAGGGGAAATAGCAGATATACGCTGATGTTTAACAGGCAGCCTACAGGCTCAGCAGGAAAGAGGGAAGCTCAAAGGCTGGATGGCCCCCACCCTTGAGGGGAAGGTGGTGATGGTAGGGGCTGGTGTTGGGGTGCTGGCACCACCACAAGGGCCCCCCAGAGTCTCCCCTAAAGCTGCCTTGGTGCAGAACAGTAGGAGGGGAGGATGGAGAAGCCAGTGGCCCTGGCTGGGGGCCATAGGAGTTCTTTTCAGATGGGGGCTCTTTCTTTCAGGTGTGCCTGCGGTTACTCATGTGCTGTGTGTCTATGGAAAAGACTGTTAAGCTGTCAAATAGTGAAGTACCTCAGTAGTTCCCGATGCCGTGATCATGGTTTTGGTCTCGTTTCTTTTAGGTTACCCCTGTTTCAGGCCAGTGCTTTTGCATTTTTGGCCCCTGCTCGAGCCATCCTGTCTTTAGATAAATGGAAATGTAACACCACAGGTAATTGCAGTTATTTCCACATATGTCATTGGGGTCCTTTAATGCAGGTGATAAAAGGGAGGCCTGGACATACTGCCCCCAGCAGCGTTCACTCCTTCTGGAATTAGGTGCAGAACACACCAACCCCCAAACAGCTTAGAACGCTCCAGTCTGTGGACCGTGTCTCTCTCTCTCTTTCTATCCACTCGTTCATCCCTAACCCTAGAGCAAATAAGGACCAGGAATGACCTCATTTCTCTATGCTAATGAAATTGATAAGTATGGGACTGGAATAGAACAATATCTGCTATATTCCTGCCTGTCTCTTTCAGTGGATTTTATGACCCACTAGTAGTTACCGCTCTTGCTGCGTCAGCATCCCTTCTCTGAAACATCTTTGCTTTTTAAGGATCTGGCTACTGTGGTTTTCTGCAAATGACTTTCATTCCCCCTTCTTAGTGATTGCAAAGATCCTTAAGGTACCCAATAAGGACAAGAAAAGACAGGGAAGTTTGGGAAATCAGACTCAGACCTGTGGTACTCTCAAAATAGTTACATTTTGAGGTTCTAGGAGCCAAACTTTTCAGCCTTCATTTCCTTTGTTGCTCCTAGGAGTTACTTTGTGACCATTAGTTTGATTTAGGAACTGGAGAAGACCCTCTGTTTTATCTAGGGTTTTACAACCTCAGTCCAGCCACCTTGCCATCGGGCATTTCAGTTAGCTGCTTGCAAAGGTTGGTTTTCTGTGTGAAGCTGGTCTAGTAATGGGTAGCACCACTTCAGTCCGTTTTTGACACGTTGGGGAGCTCTCAGAAGATGAGTACATTGATTAAATTAGTGCTGGGGACTCCACTTTGCAGTGTGATAAGCCCTTCTGTTGTAGGTTGAATTCTAGGGATGGGTAATGTCACAAATATACTTAAAACAGGGAGGAAATTCCTCTTAAAGGGTAAAATGAGTATGTCCTGTGAAACATCGCCGTCGCTACAAGGAAAACTTTGTCTTTGTTTTTGTTTTCAAGATGTTTCAGTTGCCAACGGGACAGCTGAGCTGTTGCACACAGAGCACATCTGGTACCCCCGGATCCGTGAGGTAAAGGACCCGCGCCACTGGCTTGCAGCTTCTCCGTGTTTCTTCTTCTCGGCTCCCGTGCTGGGTGTGCCCAAGAAAGCACCGTTGCTTTACCAAGTCTTCCTTTTTCTCTTCAGTTACTGAGATGTTTATTCCTGTTGTTAAACTAAATTTACTCCATGGCTTCGTGCCACCAGACAGTGTTGTTCTTTCCTCCTGCAGACCCACAGACCTGCCCACGCACACCCTCTAGTAAGTTGAGGCTCACGGTTCACTTGGAAGAGCTGCCCAGGCTTGTCACAGGCAGCAGAATTGGTTGTGCTGCCCTCAGCATTTGCCTGTGTTTGTTGAAAGAAGTAAAGATATTTGTCTACTAAAGTGCCGTTGAACCAAGCGGTGTGTGGCAGACTCCAGACATGAAGAGCAGCTGACAGTGTATACATATCTTCCCAGGCTCACAAGATCAGTAGAATTAGCCTGAATATGACCATTCTGCAGGATAGAGCCATTCCTCTAGAAGTTTTGTCAGTGATATTGTCTTTTAAATGTTGTGTCACCCTCCCCCCCAACCTCCCGTAGTACTAGGGATTGAACCCAGGGTCTTGAGCATGCTAGACAAGCATTTTACCACTGAGCTGTGGCCCCAGCCCTGGGTCTCACTCTTTAAAGCCAGTGTGGTACTCTTCCTATAAGGCTGGTTTGGAAATGTCTTCTTAAACGAGAATTATACATTTTATATATTTCATTTATCAGTGGAAAAGGCAAGCTGGCTTTGTGTTCAGTGCCCCTTTCTACAATTTTCTAACATTGCCGATGTCATACTCAAGTTTTCTAGACCTTAATACCTCCACTGAACTTTTTTTGGTGGGTTCCCAAGGAATTATTTAGCTATTGGGCCTACCATACATTATAATAACTTATGGCCTTGCAGAATTGTCAGTTGTGGTTACAGGTGACATTCCAAGTATTGGACATCCAAACTGCTCATTCTCATGTTGTATTTTCTCTTATTTCAGATCCAGGGGGCCATCATCATGTCCTCATTGATAGAAGTGGTCATCGGATTCCTTGGCCTGCCTGGGGCTCTGCTGAGGTACATCGGGCCCCTGACCATCACGCCTACAGTGGCCCTCATTGGGCTCTCCGGTTTCCAGGCAGCAGGAGAGAGAGCAGGAAAGCACTGGGGCATCGCCATGCTGTAAGTGTTCTGAACGCACCCAAGTGGGGACAGGCAGACTCTCCCCGACTACTGCCATAAGAACCTTTGAGAGTATTTGGAACGTTTGCACAAACTACAGAAAGCTGTAATAAAAAAAGAAAAAGAAAAAACCGAAGAAGAATGTTCTGACATTTTAAACTTTGATTCATGCTTGGGAATAGTTGAAGGGTTTTCTTAGAGTTTGGGAAGTGACATATAGTCGGTGTCACAAACGCAGATGTGGCAATGATGTGGAGAGGGAGGGTCCAGAAGGCATAAGCTTTGAGCTCTCACCTTGTGAGTCACACCAAGTCTCTTGTGCATGAGTTGAAATACTGAGAAGCCACATTTTTTAGAGCTCATCCTATCCATGTCAGAGATTTCACATAAACCTGTAGCTCAGACCTCTAACTCCGGACTTCCAGAATCAGTGCCCAACTTGCTGTCTCTGCTTGATATTTCACAAGACAACTCAAACTGACACGCTCCCTGTTGCTTATGCCAGAAACCCTAGTGACGTCCTTGACTCTTCCCTTCCTCCATTCCCCACACAGTGGGTCGTACACTTGACTCTATAGCAAACCCTGGGTCTGTTTTCCTCTCCAGGCCTTCACTGCTCTATGGCCCACCCTCAGCCACTGACTCCTCACTGTTCTCCAGCTTATCTCCTCTCCCTTCCTGACCATTCCCAGTCCTGTAACATGCTTATCCATTAGTGTCTTCCAGGCCTCTTCCTCTGTCCCCTCCTTTTGAAACTCCAGTTGGACACAGCTAGACTTCTGGAAGCTTTTAGGTCTTGTTCCAACATCTGAAACCTCACCTGCTGCCTCTTGGTGAGTCTGTTTGTATCTCTTGGCCTGGTGCTTGGGGGCCTTTCTCTGAGAGCTCCGACAGGCAGAGGTGGGAAATTTGAATTCCTTCTCAGATGTCTGCCTCCCCTCCACTCCTGCTCATCCCTTTCTAGAACTCCTAGGATGTTGGATCTCCTGGATTCTTCCACTTCTCTCTCCTTTTCTATCTTGTTTTTCTCCTCTGTTTTCCTCAACTGTACCTGTTAATCCTTCGGTGGGATTTTTCATTTCTGCTCTTGTGATTTTTGTACAAGACCATTTGTCCTTGGGATGTCACCTGAGGGCAGGTGTCAGCTGTGGGCCAGTTCCATGGCACATCCAGCACCTGGTCCACCTTCTGTTACAAAATAGGTGCTTGGTAAGCACCATATGAGTGAGTGTGGGAAGCCCTGGGAGTGGAGAAAGCCCATGTCCACCGTAACAGTCAAGAATGATCCCTAAGGAAGCTTTGCCCAAATAGTTGACAGCGAGTGTATTAAATCTTCAGGGAAGACAGAATTCCTGTTTATAGTGTTCTAGAGCTTTGAGAAAGAAGGAAAATTTCCTGATTTATTTTAATGGTGAAACCTAACTGAGCTAATAATACAGAAGAACCATTGGCTCTCATTTTTCCTTTCTAGGGTTATATTAAGGAAAAAAACCCAGAGTTGACTGGTGGTTTTGGAAGATGTTCCAAGCAAAGAGTTCTGAGTTCATATATGTTCAGGTAGAATGCTAAAGTTCAGCATCTTTGTCTACTGTAAGGTTCCCTGGGATTTTTTAAGATGCAAATGTGTAAGACTCTTCCCAGAAAAGAGCCTGAGAATCCAGCACTGCCCATACTTAATTGAAAGAATAGCGCATTATGTATCATTTCAGGAATTCAAGAATGATTAAATATCAGATAATCTATTAAAACTTATCATGGGTCCATAGTGTATTTTATCAATAAGTTTTTATGACTAAAAAACTGTGACACACTAAAAAATATTTAGTGTAAAATGACATACTTGAAACTAGTGAGGAGTGGAAGAATTATGTAGGAGAAATTAGATAATTATGGAAAAAAAGATTCCTAGTTTATAGCAATTCATTTCAGTTGAATTAAATACTTAAATGGAGGAACTAGAAAAGGGCTGGGCTGTGGCTCAGTGGTAGAGCACTTGCCTAGCACATGGGAGGCACTGGGTTTGATTTTCAGCACCACATGTTAATAAATGCGTATATATAAAAATATGAATATGGAAAAAAGTGCTAGAAAAAAAATCTACATAAATATTTAATCCTAAAGTGAGAAATCTTTTTTAAAAAATACTGAAAAGATAAAATTTGATAGATTTCACCACAGCTGCATTTAAAAACCAATGAAACAGAGACTGTGGTTGTAGCTCAGTGGTAGAGCGCTTGCTTAGCATGTGTGAGGCACTGGGTTTGAGCCTCAGCACCACATAAAATAAGTAAAATAAAGGTATTGTATTCATCTACAACTAAAAAATATTTTTAAAAAACACTGAAGCAATCTAAAATGAATCTGAGAAGACAAATTCTCAAGAAAGGCTAATGTCCTTAATTCATAAAGTTTAAAAGACAGAGAATCCCAGTGGAGTAATGGTTAAATGATACAATATGAGCAGCTGTAAAGCAAAAAGGAAATAAAAATAGCTAAATAACATGTAAGAAGGTTTATCTTTCCTAGTTATCAAAATGTGTGTTATCTACACCAACTTTGTTAGGAGTGAGAGTGGACCAAGTTGTGCAAGTGTGGGTTTGCTCCAACAGTCAGCATTTAGGGACATATCCCCAGGGTTGGGAAGGGTAGCTCATCTGTGACTGCCGTTTCCAGCGTAGTGCATATATCTTTAATAGGAACAGTATTCTTCCTAAGAACATTAATTTTTAAAAGTTTGCTTTTCTTATGAAAAATTTCAAACTATTCAAAAGAGGAGAGATTAGTTTAATGGCCCATGTTCTGTCACCAAACACTCTGGAGCAGTCTTTTTTCACCTATACCCCACTGTTCCCTAGCCCCCTCCATTTCACTTGGTTCTATTCATTTGAAATTAAGTTATTAAACAGAGAAATCTAACATAAAGCAAGTCTTCCCACTCACCTATCTCTCAGAAACAACCCCTCATGATAACTTGTAATTCAATGTTTATTCTTCCATATTTTTTTGTTTTCATGCAGATCAATATAAACATGCACATGTATAGTGTTGACATCAGATTATTTTGTAGTTTGTTCTTTGGGGGCTCACCTTTCCAAGATAGTGTTTTTAGTTGGGTCTGATTCATTCTAAAAGTACACTAATTAAGTATGAATGAGCTATAATTTATGTGGCCATTCCCCAATTGATACTCATGCACGCTATTTAAGCCATTTGCTATTGTAAACATATGCTGAAATATGTATCCTTATGCATAAAAAATGAATATTAAAATAAGTGATAGTTTTTAAGTTGTTGAAATTGGCAAGCATTTAAAAGTATAAGACCCCATGTTGCAATAAGTAGCAAATGGACATTCTTGGTCTCTTTGGTGGGCTTACATCATTGTTCACATTGCTTCCGTTGTCATGTATACAGAAATTGCTAAACAAGATGCCCATTAATGGAATGCTAAGCTAAGCAGCCATTCAGGCACTGATAGTTTACACCATGTATTGAGGTGCAAAGGTGTTCTTGGCATTAGTAAGTGCTAAAATCTGGTTAGGAAGCAGCCTGTAAAGTATGCTCCCAGGTTGGGTTAGATAATGACCTCCTTGTGCCCCAAAGATGGTAGCAACCAATGGTCACCTATCTTTTTTGATCCCAGTGTCCAGCCTCCCATAAATATCCAGAGAATAAAATCCCTTTTGGATCGATGGGAATGTTGTGTGTTTTTTATCACCTAATGGATTATGAGTGAGCTTCAGAATTTTGTCTCTTTGCTTTTGCTTATCTGCCTTTAAATTTTCTCTACAGTTTACTATGCATCACTTGCCTTATATTAAAGTAAAAGACAGATTAAAAAAAGGCAACATGTAAATGTAAGGTGAAATTTAAAGGTAACATGTAAAGTACCCAGGGCAGTAGGTGTACCACAGCCTGAGGACTTGGGCTGAGACCCTTGTCCTTTTTCTTTGTGAGCATAGCATGCCCCCACTCTGAGCCTCTGTTCTTGTCTCCCTGTCAAGCAGATGCCTGCTCCCTACCTACCCCATGCATTTGAGGATAAAAATAATATAGAAATAGATGGCTTTTGTAGTAGGAAGAAAACAAGTGTGTCTATCTGCCTAATCTGCTCACTTATTTAGGGGCTGCAGTTGTAGCTCATTAGTAGAGCACTTGCCTAGCATGTATGAGGCCCTAGGTTTGATCCTCAGCACTACATTTAAATAAATAAATTAAATAAAGGTATTGTGTCCATCTACAACTAAAAAAAATTTTTTTTAATTTAATTTGAGTTGACACATGGTGGGGCCTGAGATCTGGTTGTCTTTCCTGGAAAGTGAGCACTTTGCACAGGTGGGTGTCATCTGAAATAATAATAGCACCAAACTTGGTGTGTTTTTTGGATTTCATAGTATTAATTACTTTGAAACAAATAAGTAGCTTTTTAAAAAAAATGAAAAATTTACATAGGTCTAAACTTAAAATAATGTCAGTTTTAACATCTCTCATTGCTATATTGGTTTTTTGTTAGACTTCACTATCCCAGAGGAATTGAAATAACTTGGGCACCATGTTTCCACCTTGAGCTGGTATTGTCAGACACTTCTGAGGGCTCACCAGTTCACCCAAGTGTCTAGATAGGCTAGGAGGCCTGTGGAACACACACCTGTTCTCCAGCCAAGCTTTGGTCTGCATCTCAATAGGAATGTGACAAGGGAGCTGTGCTTGACTAGCTGTCAGTGGAGCTAATAATTCCATCTTGCCAATTGGAGCAGTGCCCAGGAATAATTAAGCTTAGCTTTGAGAACCCGTGATTCCTGCCAACTCTACCTCAGGTTGTAAGTGAAAGCGTGAGTCCAAGTGGAGGATTAGGCACCTTCTTGGGTGATTAGGCACATCATTGCTTGCCTATATTATTTTGGTGATGATGTCTACCCAAGAGCATGAGAAGTGGTCCCACACTTGCCAGCCACATGGGGACATCAGACTGATGAGGAAGTGTCAGCTTCCTGTTGTAGGGAGTTCGCTACCTATCCCTGCCTTCTGTGTAGCACTCAGCAAAGCTGGGTCAGGAATGTGAGGCTTAGGGATCAAGGACTTCTGCTGCCATCCTGGTCTTACACCCTGCAAACCTCACTGTGTGATCTTGGAACACTGGCGTTGTGACTTTATAAAAAGAGCATCTGGAAACCACTCCAGAAATCTGAGATATGCATAGAAAAGCCTTAATGTAATGTCCAGCACACACAAACCTCTCAGAATATTATCACTGATTCTACCTAATGTATTTTCTTAAATATTGAAGTTTCAGTTTTTGCTTTTTAAAAGTAATTTATACTTGTTGTGTATAAATCAGAAAATGCGTAAAAGTAGGAAAAAGTAGTCACATATCATATTTTCCGAAGTCAGGCCCTTGAGCATTTTGGATCACATCCTTCTCACCCGGTAGCGTGTATGTGCACATGCTCAATGTATTTTCTCAGTTTGCTTTTTAGTTAATTCCTAGTTGTAAATATATTGTTCAATATGTAGTTTATGGCATCTTTCCCTGATACACTGTGAGTTTTCCCCTCAGTGTGTGTATTCTTTGTGTTTTCGTACTCTTCCTGGGAAAATTTAACCAAAGCTTTAATATTGCATTTTCATTTCTATATCAAAAAATGCTAGGTAAGTGAGCTGTGTGACATCTTCCCCCAGGTGATAGATGTGATTTCCAAATTGTAGCAAAGAGGGTTAACAACTCTCTGGTTAAATGAATTGAACACATAGTCAGTTTTTTAGGCTTTTTTAAGGATATAGTAACCTTAACCTCATTTATTTTCTTTCTTTCCTTAGGACAATTTTCCTTGTATTACTATTTTCTCAATATGCCAGAAATGTTAAATTTCCTCTCCCGATTTACAAATCCAAGAAAGGGTGGACTGCATACAAGTTACAACTTTTCAAAATGTTCCCCGTGAGTAGTTGGCTTTTTTTTTTTAAACCCTGACGGTGTTGCCTTTAGTTCGTGTGTAGATATTTAGATGAAGGAAAGTCTGTATTATAAGCAGGTCCTCCTGAGGGTGATCATTTCTGGGGGTGACATTGGGGTACTTATGACCAGCCCAGTCATCTTGGCCTTGAAGTTTAGAAGCTGTGCAAGTTCCAGTTCCATCCTTTTAGTGGTGTCAAGAGGAGGACACTCACTGTCTTTGGGACTGAGATTTGACCCTGTGTGGCCTCCACAAGCATATTGCCATTCTTGACTAACAAGACTTTGGAAAGCAAAGTGAATTTACCTGCATAAAGGTGCTCTCAGTGCAGTTCCATTCAGGGAGTGTGTCTGCAAAATACTGATGGTGGTGGGTTCTGAGGTGTGGTGGTTTCACTGTAGGAAAGGTTGTGTGGTCGATAGTCACGAGCTCCATTATCCTGACAAAGCTTCTCCCCTTGACCACTTCAGATAATCCTGGCTATCCTCGTGTCCTGGCTTCTCTGCTTCATCTTCACGGTCACAGACGTCTTCCCTCCTGACAGCACAAAGTATGGCTTCTATGCACGCACAGATGCCAGACAGGGTGTGCTCCTGGTAGCCCCGTGGTTCAAGGTACCATACCCGTGTAAGTATCCAGGCTGCCAGAGGGGTCAGGAGCCCAGGAGTGCCTTCCTTTAAGGGGTGGGAAACAGGCAGAAGGCTCTACAACATGAAAAGCCTCTTTTTTCCCAGAGTGTCTCCTAAGAGTCTGGCTGTTCTGGTCATTAGAGGATTAGACTACAGAAAAGGAAGGCCTTGTCCCCAGAGGACAGTCATCAACACAGATCAACAGCTCCCTTCTCAGATTAGCTAGTTGGTTCTTTGGGCTCTACTAGGATGAAATCCTGGACAAGGGTTCTTGCCAAGCTTGAGTTTTGGCAGCCTGGATTTGAGGGCAGCTCTGAGAAAGGCAAGTACGGAGCTGCTTAGTACCAGCACTGCCAAAATGAAAAGACCAGAGAGCGAGACCTGGAGATTAGGGAGCAAACTGCCCAAGCATGATGGAATTTAGATAATCGCTTAATGGGTGGACATAATCTTTTTAATTTAGTCACAGCTGCAGAGGTAAGTTGATAGTCACAATTGGCCGGAAGATAGATCTTAAGTTATAATTTGAGTGTTGGGTGACACTGTGGGACAGAGAATTTGATCTGTAGCTGAGGTACCACCTGGAGTCACATGTAGCATTTTCTAGACCCCAGCCCCTAAAATGACTCACATGAGCCAGTGGTTGTTAACACATTCCATTGTTCTGTTGTGAAGATTCTATATGCAGCATTGGGATATTTTTTTTAGACTTGAAGCCTGAGCTTGGTCAGGTTGAGCCAATTCATTTTCCTGTCAAGCTGTCTTATTTTCATATTGTATAATGATAAGGAAGAAAAACCAAGAATATCAAAAGATGTCTCCTTCAAGCATGTTGAATGATGACAGTTTGGATATTGTCCCCTTTGCTCTGGATACTTTCACAAAAACTTTTAAAAGTTTAGTCTTTCTAAAAGAACATTCTCATCAGATCATATGGGGTTTAAGTGTGTGTATATATATATATATATCTGTCCTGTTTCAAAAAAAGAATGTGCATAAACATACCTGCGAGATTAAAAGTCACTTGGTGAGGCAATCAGGAGGTGGCATAGGAGCACAGGTGGGAGGAAGCCTCCTTAGCACATGCAGGTGGTTCCCAAGGTGAGCACCAGTAGGAGCACTGCCCGAGCTGTGCGTGAGATGCTGCCTCTCACTGGAACGACGGTCGTGAGGCGCACATAGGGCTCCTCTTCAGAGCAGTCCCTGGCTTTGAGAGCTGGTGAATTGCCCCGGCTTTCCAGGATGAAAAACCAGCTCCAGAGACGTCATCCTGTATGCTCCCCAGTGATGGGGATCAATTCAAAGGCAGGTTTTCAAAGATCAAGAGTAGCGGTTCTCAGTCTTTGGTATGCTAAGAATTACTTGGATTGACTGTTAACATTCAGGTTTCTGATCTGAAAGTCAGCAATGCCAAGGTTTAGAAAAAATTGCTATAAAGTAACAGAACAAATTTAAAGTTCTAGTTAAAGGTAGAGCTGAAATAACAGCTTTAAGATATACCTGTAATTCCAGTGATTTGGGAGGCTGAGGCAAGAGGATCGCAAGTTTGAGACCACCTCAGCAATTTAATGAGACTTTCAGTAACTTAGCAAGATTCTGTCTCAAAGTAGAAAATAAGGAGAGAGAAGGGAAATTGCATGAAAAGGGAAGTTGATCCTCAGGGTTATACAAAATTACATATAAGAGGAAAGGAGGGGTAAGAGAAGAATAATACAAGTGGAAGAAATGATTTACAGTAGAGGGGGTAGAGAGAGAAGAGGGGAGGGGAGGGGGGATAGTAGAGAATAGGATAGACAGCAGAATACATCAGACACTAGAATGGCAATATGTAAATCAATGGAAGTGTAACTGATGTGATACAGCAATCTGTATACGGGGTAAAAATGGGAGTTCATAACCCACTTGAATCAAACTGTGAAATATGATATATTAAGAACTGTGTAATGTTTTGAACTACCAACAATAAAAAAAAGAAGTAAGATCATCAAAAAATAAAATGTAAGTACTATGAGTGTAAAAAAAAGAAATAAAGTTATGTTTTATATCAAAAAAAAAAAAGTAGAAAATAAGAAGGGCTGGGGATGTGGCTGAGTGGTAAAGTACCCCTGGGTTTAATCCCTGGTACAAAAAAAAAAAAGATTTTAGAAATCATAATAAGGACAAAGGGTAAGAGGTTAAAAAAGTAAAAAGACTGAGGGGAAAAAAAAAACCACTTTCTGAAAAATAATACAGATTGAATATCCCTTTTCCAAAGTGCTTAGGATCAGCCCAAGTATTTGGATTTTGAATATTTTTTAGATTTTGGAATATTTGCATATCCTAATAATATATACTGGGGATGAGACCCAAGTCTAAACATGAAGTTTCTTTTATGTTTTATAACCTTAAACAGAGCTTGAAGGGTGATTTTATATAATATTTTTAGTGCACTTTTTGTCAGATTAGGAGCATTTTGGATTTAGGCATGCTCAATCTGTAAAAACAAAATAAGAATACCATCTCAAAATCAAGACACCAAAATGAACCACAGTGCCGTAGCAGGTAACGTGGTAACAGCATAAAAGGTTATTTAGAAAACCCAAAATGTGACTTGATAAAGAAGGCCCCAAACCAGCCCTGAGAGTTGACAGCTAAGTAGGTTGCTGGTGGGGGGAGCCTGTGCCTAGGAACTGCACCTTGTGCTTCTGACCCTGGATGCCTCTGCCTCCTGTGTTCCCACAGGACCGCACAGCCCCATGTGGGAGCAGTTCTGTCCTCACACTTACTTTGTGTTGTTTTAATCTTCCCAAGCTTGAATCTGCTCCATGTCACCTGTGACACAGACCACACCCCTCTAGGTGGCTTGTGGAGTTCTTGTGTGTCTCACAGGTCCCTATCTCCAAAGCACCAGCCCATTCCCGAAATTTGCCCCCCACCTTCCCCATTCTTCAAGGGCCACCTGCATTTTTACCACCTTCTCATTTCCTTCCCTGGATAAGGGCATTTCCTCATTTACTTGTACCTGGCTTGCCTTCATTTGAATTTGTTCTGGACCTCCCCCTGCCCCTGCCCCCACCCCCTCCTGTCAGTGTCCTACATCCCAAGCTACTGGATTTGATTCTTGTTCGATAGACTGAATTTTACCCATCTTTCTTTTCCCACTGTGCCTTATCCTCATTGGGTACCTTATACCTAAGAATCAGGATAAAAAGGCCAGCAACTTTATCAAAGGAATCTATTGGTACTAATAGTCAAAATGTATCCATACTTTCAAAGAAAAAAAAGATTTAATGAAGAATTAAATCAGATATTCCAAATGAAACTATTATAAGGCTTTGCTTTGCTTTCCAAAATGAAATTAATTTTTTATAATATGGTTTGTGGTCTACTTTAAAGAAAATAAATGCCAGTAGCATAGGAGAGAAGGATTGACCATACCTTGTGGCACACTTTACTGTTAAATATGGATTTAGTTGGTGATTCTTACTGCTCTTTCATTTGATACCACCCTCTGGGAAAGATCTCCATTATTGTATACCATGCTCTCTACAGCAGTGCTATGAATCCCTCATACAAATTTCTACCCCTGCACATTGGGTGTGTTAAATAGTAATTTAGTAGACACTGAGTATGACTTTGAAGCAGGAAGAAAAGAATCTGCCTCCTAGCCAAGTGATTTTGTTTTTTTAAAATAAAGCCACAGAGGAGATCAGTCTTCACTGGGGCCCTCACTCAGTAACTTTCCCAGGCATCTGACATGTCCATCATTAAGATTTAAAAATACACCTTCCATGCAATTCAAAACCCGAGCAGATCCTGCATGGTCCCCTGAGGTCTCGGTAACTTTTGCTGTTCCTCTAGGAAAGTGCATGCATCTTTCACGGTTGTCTTCCTTCCTCAGTTCAGTGGGGGCTGCCCACCGTGTCTGCTGCTGGTGTCATTGGCATGCTTAGCGCCGTCGTCGCTAGCATCATCGAGTCCATTGGTGACTACTACGCCTGCGCCAGGCTCTCCTGTGCCCCACCGCCTCCCATCCATGCCATAAACAGGTACGTCCTTGAGAAGACCTTGTTCTTCATCCAGGCTGTTGGTTTAGATACATGTGAGGAGAAAGCAGGAGTTTCAGCATGAAGGCAGCCAGACAGCAGGACAATCTACTTATGGCCGTTTGTCTTTGGATTACTCACTGCCCCCATTTTCTGTCATTTTCCTCATCTGTAACCTTTCTACCTCCCAGTGACAATCAGACACTCTGGGAGACCACCATAAACCTGTAACTCACCAGAACAAATGCCAAGCATTGCCCTCATTGTTGGCTTGGTTTTGTGTCATTTTGATATGTCTACTTTGATTTTTTTGTTGTCTATTTTTCCCAACTATTCTTTTAGTTTTTCCATGTAAATTAAAATTTTAGACTCTTTTGAATAAAACAGCCTCTTCACAGTTTATAAGGTTATTTCTGAATTGCAAAAATTCTGTCCCAATACCCTACCCCCACCCATTTGATTGGCTGCCACAATCAGACAGAGGCATAAGAACACTTTTTTTTAAAAAATATTTTTTTTAGTTGTTGATAGAACTTTATTTTATTTATTTATATGTGGTGCTGAGAATCGAACCCAGTGCTTGACACATGCCAGACAAGTGCTCTACCACTGAACTGTAGCCCAGCCCCAAGAACACTTTTTTCTTGCGTCTGTATTGGCAATCTTAGCAGCAGATGGTAACTATTCCAGTTTTATTAGTTAGATGCATTCCAGCTGCTCTTAAGAGGAGGCGCTATGTGATCTATTCACAGTTACAGTTCATAGAAATAGGGAGGAAGATCAGGGAGAGGTGAAATTTGCAGGATCTAGAGCTTTATGAAATGTGGGGTTATACCCTCCAGACAGTTCTGGAAGTTGGTGGGGAATTGACCCTACGCAGGCTGCAGAGAAAAGAGAATAGTCCAGATCAGGTCCCCAGCCAGCTGCTGCTTCTCCAAAGGGATTGTGTGGCCTCTCCAGGGGTTTTCATTCCTGGTTTTCCATCTTTCTCTAATGGAGTTGTTGCATTTGATGAAACCTGCTTGTGGATCGATTTTTTTAATAATTTCAGTGTTTACCAAATTTCAAAGTATTTTTTTTTTCTGAAGAAACTGGATTTTAATAGGAAAGAATCGGATTAGTAAGTTTATATTTCAATGGACAGGAAATGGCTTTATTGTCTGGCTAAAGTCTTTGTTTTCAATTGATTTCAAAACACCTGTGTCTAATGTGGGATTTTTTTTTTAAGAAAGGGCCTTCTTAGAATCCATGAGCTCAGGGATCCTATTGGAATACCGGTTCTGTTTCAGCAAGTCTGGGTAGGGCCTGGGATTCTTCATTTTAACCCCTCCTTCCCAGGAGGTGCAGAAGCTGTAGGTCTGTGGACCACATGTCTGGGTTGCAAACATTTGAGCCTGTTTTCAGTGTTTCCCCATTGAATGTTTCTCTTTCCCCGATTCCTTTACATTTTAGGGGGATTTTCGTGGAGGGTCTCTCCTGTGTTCTCGATGGCATATTTGGTACTGGGAATGGCTCTACTTCATCCAGTCCCAACATTGGAGTTTTGGGAATTACGAAGGTATACATATTTTTCTAATTAAATGATCGGGGCCACTAAGCGTTCATCCTTTTCACGGGTTGGTTTGACCTCTGCGAGTTCCAACAAGAAGGGCTTGGGATTCTGAGATCATCTTCCTCCCACATCTCCTCTTTTCCCTTTGATGAGTCTCTGGAATGCCTGTTTGTTTGGAGGCAGGCCAGCTTTGGTAAGAGGAGCTTTGGTGGGAGACTCTCGGGTGCTGTCATTCATTCTCATGCAGTCTACAAATACGTATTGAGCATGAACCTGTGCCTTACTGCTATTTTAGGTACTTGTGGGTACATCAGTCAATAGAAATGCGGGAGTTTGCATCCTAGCAAGACACCCATTAGTCAGCATAGCAAGTCAGTAAACAACAGTGTGTCAGCCAGGGAAGAGAAGAGGGGAGAACATGGGTAGGGGACCAAGAGAAAGGGTTAGTAAGTGTTAAATAGGGTGATCAACCCAGGCCTCACCAAGAGAATGACCCTGAACACGCACCTCCAGGATGGAGGAGGGGAGCCTGCAGATAATCTGAGGAAGGACATTCCAGGAAAGGGTGTGGCCTGTGCAGAACAGTCTTCTGGAAGTGGAAGGTTAGCACCAAGGCCAATGGGGGAAAGAATACAGAAATGAAGAACAGGTAACCAAAGGCCAGGTAACACAGGGCCTGTTGGTGTCCATAGACACTGGGGTAGAAGAGGGCACTTTAGGGAGCAACTTGATCTGATTTTGACTGCAGTGTAGAGGTTAGACCGTGGCAGGGTAGAAACAGGGGACCAGTTAGGGGCGTCAGCAGTTCTAAATGAGAGGTAATGCCACTCACCACAGAAAAATAAGTGCATCTTATGTTAAAGAAGTAATATCGTTTTCAAACTCCAGTGGCAGAATCCTCCTCTTTCAAGTGAAATCTGATTTCGTGTCACAGTGAGTCATGAAGTTGAAGCAGAGCTTGAGTCCCAGTCCTACCCACTAGTTCTCCTCCCCACCGTACCCAACTCCACCCTAGCTAGACAACAGATTAGGAAACCTGGGACTGACCCACCCCAAAACTCCGTTTCCGAAAGAAGGATCCTGCTCCCAGGCCTTTCGACTTTATTGCTAGCAAATAAACTTTATATTCCGGTTGCCTTAGGCTAGAGTGCTGTTTGCCAGGATGTTGAGGAATACAGCTCAACCCACTGGCCATTCAGTGTTGTGCAACTAGAGACTGTTAAAACTGGTTCCCCAAACCTAATGGCCTACGTGAATCACAGGTCCCTTCACCTGAGAACTTGGGGGCGAGCCCAGAAGCCTTCGAGACCTGTTTGACCTCTGTGAAATTAGGCAGGAGTGAGTTTCCAAAGAAATCTTCATCCTAGCTCCTTGTAAGATTCTATAATCAGATAAAAAGAAACCATATACTAAGTTCCACTAATCTTGATTACAAATCCAGGTGAGAGGGAGCTGTGCACACATGCAGGGTGCATGCTTGGCTTGTTAGTTGTTTTTCCCCCAAGTTGATAGGGCTGGGCCAGAGTTCAGCTTCAGGTGTACTGATGACCCCATCTGCTGCCTGTTGCTTTCAATGCATGGCATGGGAGAGGTGGCTGCCCAATGGGCACTTCCTGTAGGGTCATTCCTGAGGTCCTATTGTTGGCCGTGGTGAGAAGCAGGAGTGGAGCCCAGGGAACTGAGGGAAGGGTCTAATGGCCACAGAGTGGGGCATAAGCCATGTTTCTCCTGAGTGTTTGCTGCCATGACCATGTAACTGGTCCCTAATAAGAAGACAGCGGTAAAGTTGTTATAGATGGAGGGCGACTCTTGGAAGAATTAACAGTTTAACTAGCCACCTCCTTTTCTGGACCCTTTTAAAACACATTACATAACTTAGCCAAGGTCACTAAAGGAAGCAAGCAAAGTATTGTTCTACATCATTACCAATGACTTAGGGAATTATTATCTTTATTAAAATTCGAATGGTGCCAGCTTATTCTGAAAAGGCACTCTGCCAGCACTTTTCAGTGAACTAATTGATGTTGTCCTGAATCCCTTTGCACCCAGACATCCAGGCTACTTTCCCAGGCAAAGGCTGCGTCAAGTCAGAGTCACAGTGTCAGCTCTGGAATCCGATTTGTGTTACCCTGAATCTCAAGACTCAATTCCAGGAAAAAGGGTACAGTTGAGGTCATTTCCCATCTCTATTTGAGTGGGAAGGTGAGACTTGCAGCTCAGGAATATCTGTGTGTCAAGCCCCACAGCCTATGGGAAGATCTTCACCTGGGAGAAAGGAGGCTTGAGTTCTGTGCTATGACCTGCCCTTCATCCAGCTGGAGCCTTGGATAAGCCATTTCTCTGAGTAGAGTTCTGCTCTGTAGTCCTAGGGTTACGTGTCTGGATCCGTGTTGTCCGGTGGGGTAGTCAGGAGCCATATCTGGCTGTGTAAGTTTAAACAAGTCAAAATTAAACACTGATTCCCCCAGTCGTACTGACCACGTCTAGACTCCCGACACCTTGTGGCTTAATGGCTACCACTGGACAGCACAGCTGAAAGATGTATCCACACTCAGTTCTACTGGACAGTACTGATCCGGACCATTGAACCAGACTCCTGTGGTATATAAAAGGATGGTCTGCAGCTTCCCCATAGGCTCTGCCTCCACTTCCTGGCAACTCTGTTATTTGTTGTCTTCATTCAATTATTGCATTCTCTATACATGGAATTGCTCACCTATCTTATTTAGAGTTGGGGTTACCTACCCTTGCTCTTCACTAAGTGCATTCCATGTCTGTCCTTCAGAGAGGCAGCACTACACGTTGGGGAGGCGCTTTGGACTCCAGCCATAGCTCCATTACTTAATCTCAATGTGACCATAGGCAAGTTTCATTACCTCTCTTGTCTCCACACCCTTGTTTCTGAAGGTGTTGGAATCAGTCGCTGATGTAAAGCACTTAGCTCAGCCTTCTGGAGTGTAGCAGGTACACGGAAAGCTGTAGGTGCCCTCGTTGGTGCTGTCTAGCCCTTGTTTTATTTCTAGGAACAGAGTAAACACTGTCTCTCTGGCTGTAGTATTCCTGGGAATTCACATATAGGCTAATCTCTCAGTTTGACAGTGAACTCTTACTCAGACCTCAAGATCATCTCCAAAAACTCTCCCAAACTCAAATTTCTTCCCTGCCACTGGACTGCCTCACAGTGGAACAGTGCAGTTATACGATCACAATCATGTGACTTATTCATCTTGTATCCACCTCTAGTGCGTGCTAGTCACATCCTCAAAATGTTTTCTGAAAAATACATCATTTTGATGATAAGGTCCTTATCATGTAATCAGAGCCAGGCACGAGTCATTTTGTTCGATTCAGCAATTTGTGTGGTCTTTCCCACTGTTTACTTGCTCTTTTAGGAGTGGGGAGGGGATGAATTGGGATGGAAGTAACTGGAAGTCAGTGTCAGCTGTCCAACAGAGAGCCATCTTTTCACTCTTTTAGTGAAAGTTTAGGCTTTGATGCTTATCTAACTGCCTCTGGATCCTTGAGGCTGCCAGGAGCTGGGGACTAGCACCATCTTCCACCATCTGTGCCACTAGTCACACATGCCTAATGAGCACTTAAAAGTGTGGCCAGTGCAAAGGAAGAATGTAAAGTTGTGTTTCATTTTAATTGATCTATATTTCATTAACCACTTCACTGTAAGTCATATGTAAAGCCCTGCGGGCACTCCCCCAAATGTTTCCAAGACCTCTTATACCTAATTTACAACCTCAGAGTATAGTCTCCAGGGAGGAGACAAAGAATAGGGGCCACCAGTACAAGATTCTTGAGTCAGATCCCAGCAAGATACAGCCTCTAGAAAGCAGAGGCCAGGGTTAATAGGAAATAAGCTCATAACACAACTAGTGGAGAAGGGGCTCACCAACAGGTGCAGCTTTGTTGAGAAGAGCCTGAGAAGTGTGCTTTATTTCCTATGTCCCAGAGGATTTAAGCAAGGGGCTGACATCCCCAAATCAGTGTGTTAGATCACTCTGTTTCGGTGGGTGAAGTAAGGACCAGGCACCATTCAGCTATTTCAGGCATATCATGTCATTTAATCCTTTAAGCAAAATCACAGGGTGTAGCTGCATAGAGTAAGGATCCTAAGACCCAGAGAGGCTGACTTGCCCAGTCATACATAGGTGGAGTGGGCATACACAATAGCTGTTGGGCTCGAAAATTCTGTACTCTTGGCCCTGAACTGTACCATCTCTCACAGGTAATAACAGAGGTAGTTCCAGAAATGCTGGAATTGTGGTTTGTCTGACTCAGGGAGAGAGGTAGGGAAGATGGAATTGAGGATGCAGTTGACTAGGTAAAAGGTGGTACAAGGAAACCCAGGAAAGAACCAGAATGTATCATCTGAGACCCCAGAGGGTCATCCCAGCCAATGATCACGTGTGAAGTCATTGGAGACCCAAGACCTGAGCAAGGGTGACCCTGTTCAGGGAATGGAGAAGCAAAGGTTGGTCCCCAATCCCTGGGGCCACCTGCCCACAGTCAAGATGAGAAGACTTAGCGGAGGGGGAAGGGAGAATAGAGGGAGGATTGGAGATGGGAAGCTCTACTTGGGGGTGTCCTTATAGTAATTATGTTTGGAGTTCAATCACTGCTAGCTGAAGGTTTAACAAATAATCTAGGTTCTGCCTTGCCGCAGTCTGGCTGGGCACAAAATCACGAGCCACCACACACCTTGTAGATTCAAACAGCAATTCTTTATTCCCGATCTCACACCGGCACTCTACACACGTTCTGGGGAAATCCATGTTCTGAATCCCAAATACTCAGCAGGCGTGCCTGAGCCAGCAGGATATGCCCTATTCCCAGCAGGGTACACTTTAAACCTGGAACCACCCTAAACCCAAGGAGCGGGATACTCCCTATTCCCAGCAGGATACACCCTAAACCTGGATCCACCCTAATCCAGTAGGATCCTCCTTAAACCCAGATCCACCCTGGTCCTTGAGCAGGGTCACCTTTCTCAAACATACATGCAATGTCACTGCAAATGTCCAAGGCAAGTCCATGTCCACAAGTCCTTCCTCTAAGCAACATGGGGTACACAGGCAAGGAAATTGTCATACCTACTTGGCTAATGGCTCTCAGCACTGCCTGAGGGTTCGGTCACATTTGCCTTGGGCCCTGGGAGGCTGGGCTGGAAATCATGCTGTTAGAGGATGGCTGCCGAGCCCTTGTCTGCCCTCTGATGTGTTCGCAGGTTGGCAGTCGCCGAGTGATCCAGTATGGTGCAGCACTCATGCTTGGGCTGGGCATGATTGGCAAGTTCAGCGCGCTCTTCGCATCCCTCCCGGACCCTGTTCTCGGAGCCCTCTTCTGCACTCTCTTTGGTAAAATTCTACCTCCTTAATAGTGGGTGTCCCTCCCAGGCTCCTTTCATCACATTTGTTAATTTTTAATAAGATCATGATGTTTTTGCCAACTCCCTTTATTAAAATTGAAGATAACAATAAATTTCTATTTTAAAATATATTTCTATTTTAAAATAAATTTAAAATGTATTTGTATTTTAAAATAAATTTAAAATATATTTCTATTTTAAAATAAATTTCTATTTTAAAATATAAAAGATTATGTCTTTCAAACTGGGGTTGTGGCTCAATGGTAGAGCACTTACCTGACACATGTGAGGCCCTGGGTTTGATCCTCGGCACCACATAAAAATAAATAAAGAAAATAAAGGTATTGTGCCCATCTACAAGTAAAAATATATTTTTAAAAAAAATTAAAGACTACATCATTCTCTGAGTTGAATTTACATTAAAGGTAGAACTAGCAATTAGAAAATTATGCTACAAAAATTAATTAAGTATAGTCTCTTTAGTTAGAATTTCTAATTGATTTAGTTCAAATATCGTTCCTGTGAATGAACCATTTAAAACTGATCATTTTTAAAGGGAGCTCTGGATTTAATGGGTGCACTATTTGGTTACAGTAATCAGGGACATGACCAGATAATTTGAGTGTGTTCCCAATTTAGTTGATGTTTTTGTGTAGAGAAGGAACCAGTTCCCATCTCCATCTCCTTCATCTAAGGCAAATTAGTGTGATGCAGATGTTTTGTACCAGAGACAGAGTGGTCCCATTTCACCCCCAGGACTCCTCCTCTTACCGCCACTGTGCTGGTCTCCTGGTCTGTTCCTGATAGAGAAAGGACTGCCATGAGTGACACATCACCATGCTGTAGGTGAACTTAATGGAACCTGTGTCTGGTGTTTTCTCTCTAGGAATGATCACAGCCGTCGGCCTCTCTAACCTGCAGTTCATCGACTTAAATTCTTCCCGAAACTTATTTGTGCTTGGCTTCTCAATCTTCTTTGGGCTCGTCCTTCCGAGTTACCTCAGACAGAACCCTCTAGTCACAGGTAGGGAAAACAGGCCTTAAATCTCGGGGTGAGTGAATGGCTGCATTCACAGCTTTTTTCCAGTGGGAAGAGGGCCTTGCGGCTTCAGTTGTGTTGCTGAACCTTCATCTTTGCATTTTCCTGAATCTCACTCACTCTGGGCCATTTCTTTGGAAGCCTGGGGCCTCTCACATAAGCCAACGTACACCTAACTGAAGGGAAGCTAGGGTTTATTTCTCTACCTGGACCCCCTAAGGGAGAATGCCTCTCTGTAAAATCTTTTGATTTCTCAGACTAGTTCTGTATTAAGAGTTATAATTTATTAGCCAGGTATAGTGGTGCATGCCAGCTACTTGGGACACAGGGATAGGAAGATGTCAAGTTCAATGCCTGGCTGGGCAACTTAGGGAGACCCTGTCTTAAAATAAAAATTTAAAAATGGGCTAGGGCTCAGTGGTAGAGAACCCTTGGGTTCTATCTCCAGCACTGCAAAAAAGAAAAAAGGTGCATAATTTCTTAAAACTCAACTTGATAGACTTTGAGAAACATGTTTTCCTACTGGGATTGTGGCTATTTTCAATTTAAAATTAACCTTTGTAACTTCTATTTTTAATATCCTGATATCATGAAGAATGAACAAGGGAAAAACCATCTTAAGAAGTAGCTATTGCTACTGATATTTTAGCAAACTCACAATTGAGAACCATTCTTTGTATGTTTTTAGGTGAAATTCCCATATAAAATTAACCAATTTAAAATGGCATTTAATACATCCACAATGTTATGTGCAACCGCTACCTCTATCCAGTTTTCTAAAACTTGTCATCATGCCACAGTAAAACTCCATATTCCTTAAGCTGTTAACCTCCTCTCCCAGTTCCTGGCTCCACCAATCTGGCTTTTTCTGTCTCTGGGTTTACCCATTCTGTATATTTCATATAAATGGAATTGTCCAATATATGACCTATTGTGTCTGTCTTTCATTTAGCATAATAGTTATTTCATTTTTTATGACTAACATGTATATGCCATAATTTGTTTATCCACTCACCCATTAATGAACATTTGTTTCCATGTTTTAGCTCTTGTGACCAGTGGTACACATGTATAAACACTTCTCATGTATGACTATTATGTTCTGTATAATTGCCTCAAACAGAATTAGCAAACACTGAACCACTGCTTCTGGGGGAATGTGGCCAGTAGTACTATAACTCATGTCTGAGTGAATCTTACCTGATACTCACCCAGACTTCTTGTACTGAGAAACACTGGACAGCACTTCAGCACAACACTTGGTGATCATTTTAAATCCCCAAATCACCAAGGAAAAGCACAAAGTGTGATAAACATGGCTTTATAGAGACTACAGAAAGGAGATTTATTTAGAGGAGAATTGAAAAGTAGGGGTCACCTTGTTTGACTTCAGGTAGGAATATGTGTGTTGGGAACTCAAATTTTTCACTGTTGTGCATGCTCATGAGATGGCATGAGCACCAAGAGTGTTCATTTTGAGTTTACGGGTAAGTCTTAGTGCAATTCACAAACACAAAAACTGCAAATGATGAACATAGACTATATTTGTTAGGGTACCTGTTTTGAGTTCTTCTGGGTAGATATCCAAGAGTTGAATTGCTGAGTCATATGGTAATTCTGTATTTAACTTTTTGAGGAACTGCTGAACTGTTTTCCATGGTGACTGCACCATTTTACAATCCCATCAGCTATGTGTATACAGAATTCCTTTGTTCACATGCTCATCAACATTTATTTTCTGGTGAGGATCATCATGTTTTAAGTGTAGAAAGTGTAGAACTTCCTAATAACAAGGATATCCTTGCTGTGTTTTACATTTTAATCTGTCACATTTCATGGGAGGATATCTTCATATCCAGTTGCTCCTGATTATTAAAAGCAGCTAGGCTCTAATTAGTAACGCAGAATACTGAAAACTCTCGTATGATTATAGATACCACAGATATTTTTTGTTGTCTTATTCATTATGCAATTTTTAAACTTTTTAAAAAGCTTTACAGCACTTATCTTTTATTTTAAAAATCTATGGACAATTAGCAAGACCCTAAGCAACCCAAGGAGACCCTGTCTCTAAATAAAATATAAAAGGCTGGGGATGTGGCTCAGTGGTTATTATTGAAGTATTCATATTAGTTTAAAACATTAGTGGCAAAACTTTATTGATGTACAACTGGGAAATGTACACTCTCATATGCTGTAGACCTGAGTGGCAGAGTCGTACCCACCCACTGCCCATTCCTGAGTCAAGGGCAGGCTTGCAGTGATGACCTCATTATGGTTTCTTTCTTCTTCTAGGCATAACAGGAATTGATCAAGTGTTGAATGTCCTTCTTACAACGGCTATGTTTGTTGGAGGCTGTGTGGCCTTTATTTTGGACAACACCATCCCAGGTATGTGGTGTATATCGATCACATGTGTGAGGGCTTTTTGTTGTTGTTGTTGTTGTTGTTGTTTTGTTTTTTGCCAAACGAAAACAAGAAGCAGAAGCTGGTTGTGGTGGCATGCACCTGTAGTCCCAAGCTACTTGGGAGGCTGAGGCAGGAGGAATTGCTTGAGCCTTGGAGTTTGGGGCCATCCTGGACAACGTAGTAAAACCCTGTTTCCAACATAAATAAAAAAGAATCAGGAAAAGTAAAACAGATCAAAGCCATCATTTATTAGAATTATCATCTACCTAGGCATGATGAAACATGCCTATAATCATAACAACTCGGGAGACTGAGGCAGGAGGATCAAAAGTTCAAAGCCAGCCTCAGCATTTAGCAAGGCACACCCCTGGGTTCAATCCCTGGTACCAAAAAATTTTTAAAAAACTGCCTTCTAAAGCAGTTGAGATGATATGTGAATCTATTTTTGTTAGTAAGTTGATTGACTTTGGGTCTCTCCACTGTGGCTTCCATGGACTCATAGACTCATTGGTACACTCTTGAGTTGCTGGTAACAGCCTGTGATACCTCTTCCCCGGTCCCTGTTTTTTAAATGAATTATTCCTAAGGCGAACTTTCAGCCCACTACCGAAGGATAGTAGGCAAGGGCTGAGATCCACAAGGCCAAGATCAGTGATAAGACATAAGAAAACAGCTGTCCCTGCAGCATAGGAGCCCTCATGGGTAAGTGGTCCTTAAGGAGAACTAGGCAGTAGACTTGCTGGGATGTGGTCCCACCTGGAGCCTTCTCAGTATCCTAGAGATGGCTTCTACATGCTGCCTTCAAGGAAGAATGATGTAATGCTGCCTGATGTTCTACCCAGGGAACCCCCAAGCAGTCTCTTGATTGAAGCATTTTGGAGAAGGATTGTTTTAAGGGGGGAAATTACAAAGTCTTTAAGCCCAATACAAGGCTGGTGTACCCCATTCCATTACCATACCTAAAATAGAGCAAAGCAGTATAAAATTTAGGGGCATATAGTACTGACACTGTGGCCAAGGAAAGGTGTAATGTGGCTTGGGCCAGACTTTAGCCATCAACATCAACAATGTGGGTCATGCAGCAGGTCAGGGACACATAAAGACATCAAGAGGTCACTTAAATGTGGTGCAAGAGGGATAAGGAGGGGCTGGTGGTTCTTGGGCTTCGAGTCTGGGCACCTGGAGAACTGAGTACATTCAACTTCTCTGCTGTCATCCAGGCAGGTTTGATCTCTAGCACAGTGTTTGTGCGCATGTGCGCACACATGTGTAAATAAAATCTTGAGTCTCATTCCTGACAGGAGTTAAAACTAAGCATTCCTTTGTTTTATCTGTTGTGTGCATGTGTGTGTGACAGGTACCCCAGAGGAAAGAGGAATCAGGAAATGGAAGAAGGGTGTGAGCAAAGGGAACAAGTCACTCGATGGCATGGAATCCTACAATTTGCCATTTGGCATGAACATTATTAAAAAATACAGATGCTTCAGCTACCTACCCATCAGCCCAACCTTTGCAGGTTACACGTGGAAAGGCTTCGGGAAGAATGAAAATAGCCGGAGTTCAGACGAAGACTCACAGGCCACAGTATAGCCCTAGCTATGCCCTGTGGCTTGGCCGCAGTGAGGCAGTATCTGTAGTTCCTTACTGAGAAACAAGAAGTAAAGTATATGTTTGTATATCTACATTTACATCCTGCACCCCAGAGCTGAGACAGGTTGCACATTGCTTTTCTGTTGTGGGTAGTGATTTGTGTCTAATATGGTGTCTCACCTATGTCCTTATTTAAGCCCTTGACCTGTTGCCCTTTGAGAGTGTCCATTGCTGGCCATGGTCACTGAACTTGAAATTCCAGTTCTCCTGTGGGAATAGATGTGTGAAATCTGCAGCCGTTCCTCTTCCTTCCTCGCAGTCCTCTCCAGTCCCTGCTGCTGGCTTTTCTACAGGCAGCCTCCAGGGTCCGGGGGTTTTTTGTCTCAGAAGCACTTGGACCCACTTTGTCTTCACTTGACCTTACCCTGTACCTTCAGAGACCTCCTGTGGCCAAGGGACATGAGTGTCCTTGCATTATCACAGCTGCCTGGTCAAGTGAGATTCTCTTGTCCCTGATAACTCCTGTCGGGGGCTCTTGACCTGACTGACCCAGATGTGGGCATGCTTAACATCTTTGTTCAATAATACAGATATTGGACCAACTCTGTTCAGGGGATCGAAAGGAAGGGAAAGGACCCTGAAGTCAATATTATCCTCAACTGTCCCTTCTCCCTGCCACTCTATGGCCAGCACATTTCATACTGGCCTCTTCTAGTGGCTGAGACACCCTATTTGGCATTTGTCACTACTGGCTGGTGTGATGGGTACAGAGTGCCACACAGGGGCACCAGTCAGATACGTCTGTGGGCGTCTTGGCTCTCCTGTCATGTGGATGTTACTGTTGCGCGCGTCTGTAATTACGAGGTTTTATTCCTATTTAATGTTATTGACTATAGCAGATTTTCGAAATCCAGTGTTTTTCCATTTGACCTTCTTCCCTTGCATCCTACTACTTGTCCTGCACCCCCCCTATCCCCATTAAGAAAAGAACCAGCATTGTAAAGCTGTGGATACCATCAGGGAAGCTTGTTGTAACGGCTGTTAAGGCCAGTAACCATTGTTGTGGTTGTGTTTTGTATTGCTTGATACCATGAAAGTGTAAATACTGTTATAATGCCTAATCTATTTATCAAAACTGACTACTGGACCAGAGCCCAGAAAACGTGGGTCACGTTACACGTGAATTTGTTTTGTGAAGAAGGGAAGTTGGGACAGGTGACAAACAGAACCCCCATATTGAATGGTCCATCATCCTGATAAATTCATTCTTCTGTTGCAAGTCATTTTTGGCAGACGTGGCTTAAGGAGACTTGAAGGGTTGTCATAGTACTTGTCCACTGGATCTTGATTTTACAGAAGGGAAGGTTAGATTCCTTGGCCAGATATTGCCTTATTTATGTTGTTGCAGAAGACCGTGAGAAAAGAATCTAGCAGGCTCCCTCTGTTAAGAGTTCTATTTTATAACACTAAATTCTTTCTGACAAAATGACTTCTGTTGGACTCAGTTTGAAGTTTTTCAGCCAAAGGAAAAGCCTGAGACATGAAGTAGTGACCTTGGTTCATGAGATTGTGCCTCTCACGTGGTCATTGACCTGGCTGAGCTTTGAGTGGCAGTGGGTGTTCCTGTTTCCCATAGTACAGTGTGGTTCTTGGTGGCCTGGTGTCCACAAGGTGCATTTCTGTGCCCTCAGCCCCCAGGCTGACTTGATTTCACCACATTATGAGGTCTTTGGTTGTCACTATAGCCCTCTTGACTCTGGAAGTTTTGGGCTTCAAGAACACCTCAGAGCCACTGCCTTGTTTTGCCAAAATCTTACTGCAGATTGAGTAAAGATCTTAGATTCTAAACTGCATTTAATTTTTGTATTTAAAAAAAAAAAAAGTTTATTCAGTGCATATTTACTTTAGAAGCACACTGGTTAATGGTTCCCATCACTCTTACCTTGGTAAGCCCCTGAGCCGGACGGCTCTCCTGCACTACGTTGCCCTAATATTCCTGTTTTTCTCAATATCGCCCAACTTCTCTGCTTTGAAAAATGGGGAGAACTGCTAAATATGTCATTTTCAGAATCCTAGCTCTCTAAGGTAAGTCGCAGCAGCATATGTCCAAGGAAAGCCATCAGAACCATTGATAATTCACACACATTTCCCTTCAGCTTGACTGGGCATCTGCCCTCCTGGTGAGTTCCACTCGGGGTGTGGACCTCTGAACACCTCATTGGGCCAGATTATATTGTGATGCTTCAACTCTGTTGGTCTGGGGGGAAGGTCCTCAGCAAGCATCCACATGGCAAAGGAAGTCCTGTGCCCACACTTGCCATGGGAGACAGTTTCCACCCTCCTTCTTCCATTGAGGCCAGCTCTGATGTTCTAAGGAAGGAGAGAGGCAACAGGTGGTGGGAGAAAAAAAGAGTAGCTGGATCAGATGCCCCCAGTGAGTCTGGTAGTTTCTGCACAGCCTTGAGTGATTGGAGTTCCTTCATCACTAGTAAATCTTGCACACAGAATGCATAAGTATGCAAACCATTTTAGGAAGTAGTCCTCCTGCTAGCAAATGTGTCACAGGATGAAAGTCTGTAATTGAAAGGAATAGGGATATACTTTTCTGCTTGAAACCCTGCCATACCTGAAGGGGAGGTTTTGAATACAGTGGTCACCTATGTTCTGTGCCTGGTATCCTTCTCGTGCACATTTGTTGGCCTGCATTGTGGGGCTGTGCACTGCTGTGCTTCATTTTGTCAATAGAATGTTAACGGAGTATTTTAGATGTGCATGTTCTTGTAGGGCGTTCAGTCTCTTAACTTTGCAGTGACCACCTGTCCACCATTTTCACCTGCCTGGGTCCCTGAAGGAAGGCATTTGTGTTGGCCATGGAAGATAGAAATAGCATTTAACAGATAGGAGATGCTGACAGATTCACAAATGGGGAGACCCCTCCACAGGTCCAGAAAATACTGGGGAATGGCTCCAGTCTTTGTGATTTCATTCTCATTAGGGAGTTAAACTTAGATTCATGGATACATTTGTTTTCAGAATCTTCCTTAAGAGGGTTTTCCAGTGTTAACTTTTAGTTTCTTGGGATTGATTAAGGCAAGAGAAGTAGCTTTACCAGACCAGCTAAAATGAAGCATCGCGGGTCCCGATGGTTTCCTATTTTCATGGTAACAAATTCACATGCAAAATTTGCTTTATACTGTAGAATACTGACTTTCACGACAACTTGGTTTATGCATGAATCTCGCAGTATTTCCATATAGTAAAGTAACATTTCTGCCCAGGATAATAGTCACAGTTTTCCAGGGAGGGAATGATATAATTTTCATGACAATGTCATGTGCTGATAGAATTTCTCCATTGATGAATCTCTAGTATTGTGTGTATACTTTATTTACCCGTATGTATATTTTATGACCATGAGCTAAGTTGTAATTTCTTTCATTCACATCCCTGCTGAGATATCGATAACTAGCAACTTAGTTTTAAAGTTGGCAAGTCCAATCTCCAGTAATACCAGTGCCACAAGAACAGACAGGCCAGACAGAAGGTGAATAAGGAGCAGTGGCAGAAGCCTCATTCCATCTGGCCGGAGGAGAGACGGTATCGGCAGGTGGTTGTGCTTGGGCTGTACACTTGGCTGCAGGCCTGGGGTGGCCTGGGATGGGTCGGCGTGAGGGCCTACTGTGCACACCCAGCCACACCCAGGCAGCTCCCATGCCTGAGTGTTCACAGAACTCCCATCTCCAGGAAACTGACCCTTGGCTTCAGAGAAGAAGCTGGGGTTTCACATGCTGCATGTTGTCCTCTGCCCCCTGTGATTTGGACACAGAGAATAGGACATCTCCCACCCTCTCCTCCTCCTACAGTCAGAACCCGAGTAGTGCAAGAAGGCTGCCCGTGTCGCCAGTTTTCAGCTTCCACCGCTGGGTCCCTGCAGCCCCCACAGCCCGGCAGTGCTGGCCTCCATCAGCAGCCTCGCAGACATTCCCGTCCCTTCAGGTTGCTGTTGACTGTGCCTCTTCATCACTCTGACATCCGGCGTCCGTAGAATTGCTGTATGTAGTTCCAGGCACTTTGGACACCCTTACCAGCATTGCCACCCGACTGACAGTTCAGACAAACACCCTTTTCTGTTAGTTCCTAACAACCTTTGTTTGACACATTAATAAATTTCTGACTGTTCTTAAAACAGTGGAGATGCCTCTATTTTCCTTGAGTTTTTGTGACTGACTTTGCCTATATACCTTTCTGGGATTTTGTTTGTTTTTTTATTTTGCATACCGAGGGTATTTGGGGTGGGGTTGTTTTTTGAGATGTGTAATTCTTTTATGGAGTTTTTAAAAAAGAATTTTCATATTGTTTTTTCTAACATGGCTTCATTAAACGTTTAAGTATTTTAAAAATATGTAATATTTGGACCAGATGTTGTGAATAATAGTAGAGATAAAGCTATTTTATTCTGTATTTTTAAAACTGTTCCGTACAAATAAAAGCTCTCCTGGATGCCGTTTTGCTGTTTGCATGCCTCCTCCTTTGGCCAGTGTTTAAGAAAATTGTAATTTGTTAAAAGCCATCATCGAGGCAAGAGAAATCAACTTATAAGAAATTCAGTTTAGGGCTGGGGATGTGGCTCAAGCGGTAACGCCCTCGCCTGGCATGCATACGGCCCGGGTTTGATCCCCAGCACCACATACCAACAAAGATGTTGTGTCCGCCGAGAACTAAAAAATAAAAAATGTTGGAAATTCTCTCTCTCTCTCTCCTCTCCTCTCACTCTCTCTTAAAAAAAAAGAAAGAAAGAAAGAAAGAAAGAAATTCAGTTTAGCCAGGCTCAGTGCCACACACTTATAATCCCAGCTACTTGGGGCTGAAGCAGGAGGCTCTCCGGTTCAAGGCCAGCCTTGGCCACTTTGCAAGACAGGCTCAAAAGACAGGCTGGAGATGTGCCCCTGGGTTCAATCTCCAGTACCTCCCCACCAAAAATCTTATCATTTTTTTCTCTATTGGTTTCCTTCTGCAATTCTGACTTTTCCATTTATACTGCATCTCTTAGATCTGTTTTATATACTGTCACTCATTTTCTCTTTCCATTTCCTCAAAAGAGTCTGGAAGAATTTCCAGAGCAATTATCTGAATCACCAACTGGGGTTTATAGAATTCCAATCTCTTTTTTTAAATTTTTAAAATATATGTATTTTTTAGTTGTAGTTGGCCACAATAACTTTTTATTTATTTATATGTGGTGCTGAGGATTGAACCCACCGCCTCGCATATGCTAGGCGAGAGCGCTACTGCTGAGCCACAACCCCACAGTAGAGCCACAACCCCAGTTCCAACCTTTTGCTCCTGTGTTTAGTCATTTTCAAACACAACAGTAGAGAGAATAGCACAATAAACCCCTGTGGGAAACAGGAAGTTCAGCTCGGTGGTAGAACGCTTGTTTAGCATGCCCAAAGCCCTGGATTTGATCTCTCATCACCAAAAGCAGCCCACCCCAAAACCAAACCCCTTGTGCCCATCACCCAGCTGATAGGTATGGACTCAATGCCAATCTTATTTCAAATACACTCCTCCACTTTCCTGTTGTTTTGAAGCAAATCTCAGACAGCACTTCATCTATATTTCAGTTGTTACAATAAAAGATAATTAAAAAAAAAAACCTTAACAATATTTCCACAATACAATCAAACATCTAGCTAGCGTTTAAATTTCCAGTCTCAAATATTTGAAATAGATTCCACCTGAGATCCACATTTTGCCATTGGCTGATAATTCATTGTCTTCCCAAGTGTCCAGGTCTCTCTCATGTTCTCTTCTTGTTGAGTGATTTATGTGGTTTCCTTCAGGAGATGTGGAGTACATCCCCTTGTAACACGTTTCTCTGCTTTCAGTGTTTTCTGGATCAGATTCGGGTCCATTTGGTCAATGGGGCCAGTAGCGTAGTGAGTAACACCTCTGACTGGGTCAGAACACTCCAGTTGCGTCTCATGTCTAAGGTCGTATTTTAAAGGAAGACCGTCTTCATAACCCACTTCAATCTAATGTATGAAATATGATATGTCAAGAGCTTTGTAATGTTGTGAACAACCAATAAAAAAAATAAAAAATTAAAAAAAAAAAAAAAGGAAGACCGTCTTCCACCATAAGATCTTTTCATAGATGCTCTATTCCCTCAAGTCCTGCTGCACAGATAACTTAGGGAGCCGTTTCATGTAAGTTGTTTCATGGGCACGTTTCTTCCAATTCCTTAAGCTGGTCCTTTCTTGTGGACTCGAAACTTTTCACATATCTGATGATTTTCTTACTGTTGTTATTGAAGAGGGAAGATTGTGTGTATTCAGCAGCAGAATTGGGTGGGTGATTTTTTTTTTTCCCAAAAAAAAAAACTTGTTTCATGAAATGACATAAAATTCCTTAGACTATGGAGTTGGCCTGTCATTTCATCCACTTCTGTTAGGTTACGGCTGCATCCGCTTGCCAGACTCTTTATTCAGCATCAATAACTCATCATAGATATGCTGATATTTTGGTTTTATTACAGATACCTTCATATTGATGTGAGTGTGTATTTTTTTTAAATAATGATGGTGTGCTTGAAAGATCATTCTTTCAGAGGTGCAGCTCTGAGTGACTTTTATTCCTTCCCCCATCTTTATTTTTTATTATCTCCTCTTACTATTAACGACAATAATTGTATAAATTTTTTTCAAAGATTTAAGTTTTTTTTAAGTAACATTGTAAGGTCCGTAGCAAGTATCAGTTCTATTACAAATATTTGGTAATACCATAGTTGAAGAAGTAGGAAAGCCCCTGTACTCCTTGAATACTAAAATAAGACTTTATTATGTTTTTCCTCAATTTGTTCTTGACTTTTAAAGAGTTTTAACATGGCTTTGGCACTCTAATATTATTCCTGAGTTATCCCGTTCATATTTTCTCCCTTTTGTCCTGTATGGGAAGGTTTTCCTTAGATGAGGTCATCCAGAGTATTCTAGAAGAATATGCGGTGGGGGTGGGAGGAGGTGGGGACGACAGTGGGCTGGAAACCACAAGCTCCAACTGCCGCAGTCCGGCTGCAGCAAAATAACCGGGGGTGACGAATGACTTCTGTACTTTGATACAGCAGGAGTGGAAGCCGTTTATTGTAGGGCAACAGAGGTATTTATACATTTTGCACAGCTTATCTTAATATACATCAGTCAACCAATAAGGAATCTCCACACTTGATGGCTCGCTTTTGTTACATCTCAAACCACTCCCTCTGGCATTTTGCCAGGCACCATCCAGACTTGTTTATGAACATTCCCCTGGCAAAATACCAGGTGTTATTTTGACTTATTTACAGACCTTAACATTCATCCAACCAGATAAAAAGATTCTAGGATGGTGAAATTTGTGCATCTGCCTCTGAGCAGTATCCAGAAGTGGACACATCCCTGGGCAGATTGACAAAAAAACTTCTGTTCCAGCCCCAAGCTTCAAACCCCTTGGAGACACCGTGAGCCTTAACATTCTAGTGTTTCACCGATGAAGCAGCTGTCTGGAGATTTAAAGATGTCCGTGGGTCATGTGCGCGTGTTTGTATACTTATGAACACATACAGTTTATTATGCATTTGCCTCTTGGGAAGCAAATGATCCCTTGTGGCCTCAGAAAAATTCTGAATGAGTTTGAAGCAGGAGAAAAATAAATAAATAACCTCCAGGGAAGTCCTCCTAGGAATGCCCAAGAAAAGACTTTTAGAAAAATAAAAAGTTTTCACGTCAAGTAAAATCCTAACCATTTTTGTTGTGGTTCGGTGATCAGACAAGAAGAGTTTGGTAGGTGGTCATCCATGTTCAGATCGCAAAGTGTCCTCTTCCAAGAGGACGGAGATTACCAGTGTCCCCCAGGCTCTGCTCTCCCACTCTTTCACAGTTGTAGAATTTGAGAAGTACTCAAGACTACATTTCCCAGCTTTTCTGGTGGCTCAGTGTGACACGTGACTGGGCTCTAGCCAATGAGGCATAGTCAAAGCTGAGAGGCAACTTCTGAGTTGTGTTCTTAAATAGTATCTTGTTTATCCCCATCTTTGCCTTTGCAAAGATGGGGATAAACAAGATTGAAAAGTAGAATGGTGGTCAACCAACACGGTCCATTTAGACAAGGATAGCATCTGGCAAGGCAGAAAAATACAAAAGGATTCCGAAATCCCAGGGTTTCTTCTGATGACTTCAGCCCAAACTTTGGCACAAGAGAGAACAATTATTTAAACCTTTGTTACTTGAGTGTCTGCTGTAATCAATACAGCTGTGTCCTTGACCATCAGGGATTTTGTAGATACAAAGTAATTTGAAATTAGACTAGCAGCTCATAGCCTTCAACCTCACAATTGACCATCCGAGCTCCTTGGAGCATGCAACTTGAACTTTGGTCTTCTGTTTTCTTCTCTATAAAATGGAAATAATAGTTGTAGAAAGGATTAGAGAGGTTAAAATATAGATCCTAATAAATTCGATTCCATTCCTCCTCAGTTCCTTTCCAGGCATACATCAATAGCTTTATAGAGCCACTGTCATGGTGTGTGTGCTTTAGCTGCACAAACTGGCCCGGCTAGGGGCCATGAACCACTGGAATCAATATAAAGATGTGAAAACTTGGGCTGGGGATGTGGCTCAAGCGGTAGCGCACTTGCCTGGCATGTGTAGGGTGCTGGGTTCAATCCTCAGCACCACATACAAATAAAATAAAGATGTTGTGTCCACCGAAAACTGAAAAATAAATATTAAAAAATTCTCTCTCTTTCTCTCTCTGAAAAAAAAAAAAAGATGTGAAAACTACTATTCTTCTGCACCCAAACCACCCTCCCTTAGAGTAACCCGTTACTTCCACCAGGTGTGTCCTTTCACTGTGTTCTCCTTGTTTAACATACCTGACACCATCATAAGGCACATATACAAGGACCAGGCTTGCCTGTTTGTTTTCCTGAAATAGAACTGTAGCACATGCATTGTGTAACTTGGCTTTTTCCCTTTAGGAATGCAGCTTGGGCATTCCTACAAATGGGAAGAGAGAGACCTATCCTGCATTCTCTAACATTTTGTGCGTGGAGATGCAGTCTTATGAACAAGACCCTATGCCCATGGATTTCTTTTCAGTTCAGCCTTTTATTCATCTTCTCTGTTTACTTGCTTTTCCTCTTCCGTTTCCCTCTCCTGCCCAGCTTCTGATTGCTGTAGTAATACATGTTAGCAACCTTCTTTGTATCATTCATATATTTCTCTGTGTTCATATAACCATGTAAACATCTATCTGTCTAGCTATTCTACTTGTACACACACACATACACACACACACACACACACACACTGTGTGTGTATGTCGCTGTGACCAAATGACCTGACAAGAACAATGTAGGGGAGGAAAACTTCATTTTGGCTCATGGTTTCGGAGGTTCAGTCCATGGACAGCTGAGTCCATAGCTCTGGGCCCAAGGTGAGGCAGAACATAATGGTGGAAGGCCATGGCGGC